TACGAAAACTCGTCAAGAGAAGAACTTGGTGAGCGAAGTATTCCAAGGTTTAATTCTATGTTCTCCTGTTTTTCAGGCATGCCTTGCTGAAGAAACGCAAAAAACGATCCACGTAAATAAAAGTATCATCCACTTAGCCGTTTATCCCGTTGTGTTCCGTCAACAGGGCAAAGCGCGCTCTGTCTTCGTCCTGTAGGTTGTTGGAAACATCGAACCCGACAATGGGAATTGGCATCGAGAAGGACGTTACGGTCGCGGTGTTTTGGTACACTAATGCTGCAGGGATCTCCATCACTGTCGCACGATGTAATGCTTCACAAACGCGAACGGCTTAAGAAAGTAGAATCGGGACTACTGCACGATTTTCATCAAAGATGGAGAATTCGGAATGTCAGCTCGCCATTGAACGGGAGAGGACTTTACAATCAAAAGAAAGGACGGAGCAATTGAGAATCGAGTTGAAAATCAGGGAATTGACGTCGGAACGGGAGACCAAAAGACACGGTTCAGATGTAATTGGTTCTGCGTCAAAAAAGATCCGCACAGAGCACGCAAGAGACAGTACTGATAGCATTCAAGCCAATTTGGCTGTGCGCTTGCCGAGTGTACACACCGTATTCTACAAGAACCAAATGTACTACAAAGTGAACGACATCGCTTCGGTACTTGGTTACAGGGATTGCAAGAAGGCAGGGAAGCTACACATTCCTGCTGAACTTCGGTTCAGTGGGGCCGATATTGGCTTCTGTTCAAACGGGAACGAAGCTTTGACAACATACACCACAGAAGAGGGCGCGGCAACCTTGCTTCATTTGTCGAGACTACCCAACAGCGTCGAGATCGCTGAAGCAGTTGGTATTCCAATATCTGCTGCGTATAAGCAATACCATCACGAGACACACTACGTTGCCGTCATATGGCGGGCGTTCCGGGGACACAAGATGGAAAGAGAATATACAGTGGGAAAATACAGAGTCGATTTATTCTTTCCCGACTATAAGTTGGTCGTAGAGTGCGACGAACACGGTCACGCGTCTTACGATGCCGACAAGGATCTGACAAGGACTGAAATGTTGACCGAGGCCCTGGGAGCGAGTTGGATACGCTTCAACCCGGACTGCTCTGATTTCAATATCATAGATGTGATAAACCAGGTGCATACGCACATTCTTAACTTCGGGAGATGAGGAACTGCTAGAGACAACAGCATGTTCCATCGTCTTAATCAATTCCGCCATGGTGGTGGTCCGGGTGCCATAATTCATCCTCGTGCCGTCGAACTGCCTTTTGATTGTTTGCTTGCAGTATTATAGCTCAGCAGGCCAAGACGTCTCTCAAGCCGTATTCAAAGACTCACCGAAAACCCCCGCTTGATGTCATTATAGGATGCTTTAGCTTGATTGTGCTCCGCTTCTCTCTTTACGTTCTACTAGAGTTTGTGTTGCTCTAACGTTTTACTTATCTGGTCCGCTAGCCAGCACGTGGCTTTGATTGTTGTGATAAAATACGACGCCTGACGAGTGCGCCAGACCCGAAAAAAGACAAAGAGAGACTCTCCAATCCAGATAACATAACCGGGGAGTAGTGTGTCGTCTTAAGGAACCTTGATGATGGCCAAAGGAGCATCCAACGTTGGGGAGGGTTTTAAGGAAAGGTGACGGCGCCAAAGTCGGCATCTTGCGTCCGAACGTTATAGAATATATTCGCGCACGCTCGTAGGGACGCAAGCATGGCGAGTTTCACGTTTGACGCAGAACAGCAGCTGATCAGATCGGACGACAAGAATGTGCGCAGTCTCTTGGTGGGGGAAGAGAAGAAAGATCCCTGGTTTCGAGGGAATGATGTCGCCAACCTACTGGGATACTCCAATCAAAAGAAAGCGGTTGTGACACACGTGAGCACACATCGCATCAGCACACTATCTGAGCTGATAGGTCAAGGGGGGCGCATGACAATTGGCAAAGGTCATGTTGTGGATGGAAACGAGCGCAACTCTCGCTACATAGACAAGGAAGGCTTCTTGCAATTTACCGCAAAATCAGGTGTTCAGTCTGTGGCATGTCTTCGGGAGTGGGTGCTGACCGACGGTGTTGCCTCACTCCGAGAGCGGCCAAACAAGAAACGAAAACTCGATGGTGCGGCAAAGGAAACTTCCACAGAAGCATCTACGACCGACGGATTATTTGCAATCGGACAGTGCATTGAGAGAATACAACAGGACGGGGTCTGGTACTTCAAAGGCAACGACATCGCGCGAGCGCTCGGGTACCAAAATGCAAAAAAAGCAATCCAAATGCATGTCCCCGTGGACTGCGTGGCCCTTGGTGGCGAGATAGGGCTGTCTGGCAATGAAAATGTAAAATTGACACGCTTTATTACGGAGATTGGTGTGACTTACCTTGTCTACAACTCTCGCATGCCGAACAGTCTAGCAATTGCGGAAGAACTTGGTATACCGCTTTCAATGCGATTCAAGGCGTACTCGCACGAGTTACATACCATAACGGCGGTGATGAGAGCTTTCAAAGGAGAACAGATGGTATTCCAGCACCGAGTGGGAATCTACAGACTGGATTTGTATTTTCCCGAGTACAGATTAGCAGTAGAGTGCGACGAAAAGAATCACAGTGGCTACGACTGGTCAAAAGAAGAAAAGCGACAACAGTGGATCACTGCTGAAATAGGCGCATCCTGGGTTAGATTCAATCCAGACGATAAGGACTTTGATATTTTTCTTGTCATAAGTGAGATTCACAAACACTTAATGACAAGTAAGATATTAGGGGACTCGTAACCGTCAATATCCACATTGTTAGGAAGGTGGATAAGGCTTCTTAGTCAGGTATTGACGACTTGGCAATCAGGATCAAAAGCCTGAGCTTTCATCAAGTCTCCTTACTGGATGAATGACGAAGTGCTGCTTTCCTGTGCCCGTTTTTAGGCATTCAGAAGATTTTAAAGTTTTAGCAAGCCATTGATAGTGTAGTTTGTCCGATGAGCGATTCATGATGAAAGATTATGCTATCGTTGGCAACATGGCTGAAACTCGGGTGATGATGCAGAAATAGACCGGATGAAAGTATTTCTATGTTAAAGAGGAATGGAAAGCAAGCATGAGCGACGAGTGCGCCCCGCAAGTGCAACGGTTCCACAATAGCGTCTCCTGCCTTTCGATGGGGCTCATCAGGAACATCCTGAAGGACCTAAAGCAGAGGGCTCCGCCGGCGCTCGCCGCGAGCATCCGACCTTACTCCAAGGCGCACAGAACTAAGGCGATATCTGTTTCAGCATTTGATGGACGTCTTTCGGGAGACCGACATGACGATTAGGGGCGAGCTCGCGAGGCGGATGCGTAAGGCTATGAAACCGCTCCTCGTCGTGGGCGAACGGGAGTGGCTGACGGACGAGCCGGTGACCGATTTCTTCGCTGCGCAGGAGGGACGTTTCAGGACCTTTAAGACTCTCGGATGGTACGATTCCAACCACGTGGATCGCATGAAACGAATATTGACGAAGGATCGACGGGATGGGGTGGAGCCCACGAAGTTCGGGGGTGTCGTGAACTTGGGCGGGGTCCACTACGTAGCGGTGTATTTTGACGTCAAGGCTCGGACGGCCGAGTACTTTGACAGTGTCGGAAACCCTCCGCCCGCGCGCGTTCGGGCGTTCTTGGATCAGGCGATCGCTCACCTCGAGAAGAAGCACGGGGTATCTTTTCGGCTCCTCGTCCCGACCATCCGTCATCAACTGGGAGATCGGGAGTGCGGCATGTATGTTTGTTACTTTGTCTTGCAGCGACTCCTCGGCAGGTCCTTTGCGTGGACCCGGAGAGAGGTCGTCCCGGGACGCACGGATGAGGGAGTTGCAGAGGGTTTATTTCAGGAGGTGATGCGTTCCGCAGCGGTTTTTTTGACATCATGTAGGCACGGTCAGGATGGCGGTCCTCCAGGAAGCAGGCAAGAAGCGAGTCGTCATTGCGAGCACCCATCCAAATCAGACGAACGGCTACTCGAAGGTCACGTACCGTATCTTAAGACACCTGGGGGCGAAGGACGACATCGAGCTCATCAACTACGGCTTCCAGAATTTCGGTCACGTGGACATGCAGAGCCGTTTCGCGCAGATTCCG